TGCCACAGCACCCCCTTTTATACTGAGATGTAGCCAAGCAAACACAAAAATATAACTAGACACATATTGCCCGGAATTTATACTTAGTGGCACTCTGTTCTTTCTCTTCTTTTAAAGTTGATCACGATCCACCAGGCCACTTTGGTGATGGGTTAAAGTAAGATGCAGCTTGAGTTTGGAAAGCACTGGTGTAAGTCACCAGGCAGAGCCCCAAGGACAGTCTCACCTTCTCTCATTTACAGATTGTGGCACCAGGCACCTTTCACGGTAGCCCCTCCCTCCGTTACTGTGCTGGAGATGGTTGATTGTACAGCCTGTGTGTGTGTCTTCCAGACTAACTTCTTGACTGTGTCACTGGTGATTTGAAGGACCACTAACTCCTGATGCCTCAGATCACTCACTCGTTAGTTCAGTTAATATGCATGGAGGGCTTACTTTAGCCAGGTATGGTACTGGGTTCTTGGTGCAGAGAGGTGAACACATTTGACATGGTCACTGGTTTGTGGACCTCTACTTGTATCTGGCATTAGACACTATTTTTGTAGAGTAAAAGCCAAAGTTTTTTAGCCCGTGAACCTTGCCTTGATCTGAGTTCCTCATCACCTTTCTGGCCTCCTCTGTCACTCTGACTCCTTTCTCCTCTCTTTTCCAATTATGCTGGTTCCCCCATGGGTCCTAAAGGACATCAGGTGTGCTGTAGCCTCAAGGCCTTCGTACACACTGTTTCCGCCACCTGGTAAACTCTTGTTCTAGATATATTCATAGCTGCTTCCATCACCTCCTTTAAATATTAGTTAAAGCATCCTTTGCTTAATAAGTTATACCATGAATACTTTATTGAAATTGGAAGTATTTCCTTCCATCTCATCCGCTGGCATTCCTAGTCCCCTTAATCTGGTTTATTTTTCCATAGCCAGTACCTTATAACAAATAATTTATTTATTATATCTAGTGTTCTCTTGATCTCTATCATCTGAACCAAAATGAAAGATAAAGGCAAGGAATTTCTGTTGATTTTTTTCCACTGTTTTCTGTAGCACCTATAGAACCTGGTACCCAGTGGATCTTTATAAATATTTTTGTTTGATTAAAGAGTGAATAAAGAGATGAAATCAACAACCATCCAGTTAAATTAATTCTAAGTTATGATGTGATCAGAGGGGAAACAAATAACCCATGAGGTTCATGAAAGAACATGACGAACAGACCTGATTTAGACTGGGTAGTTTAAAGGAAATGATTTTTTTAGTCAGAGAACATGAGGGGGACTTCAGCTCACTACAAATAGTGCAGACCCTGCCATTTTGAGCTGAAGGAAAGTAGCATAAAGGAGTAATTTACCCCAAGCAGAAGTGTCTGAAAAGAGATGAAATCATTCGTTCATTTAACAAACACACCTTCCTGGAAGGACAGAAAGCGAATCACAGGTAGGTGCCACTCAAAGAGGATGACAGCCGTCTGTCTCGTTGACCCCAACAAAAACTCTGGCGTTGCTTCTATCTCCACTTCTGGATGAGCAAACCCAGATATTAAATGACTGTGCCACAGGTTCCCAGCTCTCAGGAGGCAGAGATAGGTATCCACATCATCTTTTTGTTTGACACTGAAGCCTGTGCTTTTTTGCTCTCTGGGCACCTACTTTGCATTAGTCTTTGAAGCAGGAACAGGACTGTTTTTCAGCCAAAGAGGGCATGGCCCTTGTCTTGAAGGAGCTCACAATATCCCCTTTTTTTCCCCAAGGTTACCAACGTGGCTCGCTTACATGAATGAGGAATGGTGCTAACTATTGGCAGGAGGCCTCAGTTCTTTGTCAGATGTACCTTTCCATAGCACTTAAATGTCTTCATCGCATGGGAGCTGCACCTCCCCAGAAAGAGTGACCCAAAAAATAGCAGAGTGGAGGCCATGAGGTTTTTCATGACCAGGTCTCAGAAGTCATGTGTCCTGTTGGTTCATTGTAGGAAGGTACAGTAGCAGAATGTGAACACCAGGAAGTGAAAAATCATTGGAGAACCAACGTGGAGGCTTTTCCCATAGATACCTATTGACCATATATTATTTACTTAATATTTTCCACTCTGCTACAATTAACGTCATCCTAAACAATGATATCAGTTAAATCACAAGCTTAATGTGCTAATTATATTTTCCAGCACAAATTAATTTAAACTTGCAATTATTAATAAACCCATGATTTGTGTCCAACCTCACTTGTTTGCGTCTTTGAGGGGAGCAGATTTTACCGCTGAGGAAACACAGGCCCCCCCAGACAGGGATTGGTCGGAGTCCTGGGGGGCTTCACAGAAAGCTTAGCTATTTGCTGCCCTCCCCGTGGAACCTGAGTGGTCACAGGATGCTGACTCTGCCCTCTACTTTCTTTCCCCAGGACCGCTTGTACTTCGTGATGGAGTATGTGAACGGGGGCGACCTCATGTACCACATCCAGCAGGTTGGCCGGTTCAAGGAGCCCCATGCTGTGTAAGGGAGGACTTCCCCGTGCTTTCCCCTGGGGTAAATGGGTTCCTCGTACCTCTGGGGCACTAGCCAGAGATGGAGTTTTAGACTTCTGAGGCTTCTTTGTGAGAAATGTTTGGCCAAGGAGAAAGGTGTTCTGCTTGAGATGCTGCCCCACACCCTCATACTGTGAAGGACATTGTGTTCCAGATCCCCCACTATTTCTTTATCTGTTCTTGTCCCTGGTTCCGGGGGAAGATCTTCTAGCTTCTGCAGGGAATGTCATTGTAGGGTTTGTTTGTTCATTTGGTGATGTTTATTGAGATCTTACTAAGTTCCGGGCCCTAAGTGCTTAATAAACATGGTTTCATGTAGTTCCAAAAATAACACTAACAAGCAGATTATTACCTTCGCTTTACAACAAGGAGGCTGACACTCAGAGGGTTTGGGGAACTTGCTCAGGATCCCAGAGTTGGTGTGAAGATGTTCCAGAATTCTGAACCCCAACTTTTTAATCCATCGTCAGTCTCCTTCACCACTCTGCCTCTCAGATGTCTTCTTCACTCCGGGAATCCAGTCGAATAGCCGCAGTAATCTGTGGTTCCTGGAATGGGGTGACTAGTTCTAGGCTTTTGGAAATGTGTTTCTCCTGCTGGTCCATTTTGTTCCTTTTGGTCCACAAGCCAGTCCCAGTCTTATTTTTAGAACAAAAATCTCATCGCGTTACTTTCCCACTTAAAAACCCGTGGGTGAACAGGAACGTGGCAAGTCATGGGAGATTAGCATCCATACCCTGTCCTGGGGTGTTGCTGAGATCCTGCTGCCCCGCAAAAGTCCCCAGGGCTTGTCTGGAACCCCATTCCATTATCCCAAAGACTTTCTGGCTCCTGTTCCATCCAGCCCGTTCTCTCCTCCCATATGCCAAGGTTGTGAGCACTGTGTTCTGGTAGGGTTTGCATTATTCTTACGCCCCCCAATCCAGCCACTGGTGTCTCTTGGCACAATTCTAATGGGACCTTAGAGCTGGCTCTCCTTTTATTTATGAAATTGAATTGACCACAATTTAAATTACATTTTCATATGCGACATATCATCAGAATTTAACATAGCTCCCAAAGCCATGTCAACCTTTGTGGGCTTTCTAGTTCTCTCACATCCTCTTTTCTTCTGGGCAGCAGTGTACATGTCTGGGTCACATGAACTGGACACATGCTGTTTCCAATCTTGGTTGTGTTATTCGTTTGTACCTATCTTGATCAAGCTCATCCTAGAGTTGATTTCTGTAAGCCTCAGTTTCCTCATTTAAAGAACAGGACAGTACTAGTAGGATGAGTAAGATTCTAATTAGGAATAAATCAAATGACGCTTGCAACAGCACGGGATAGATGGTAATCCTTCAACAGATGTTAACTGCTGTTAATATTGAAACTTGCAAGGGTTTGAAATTATTCCCCATCCACTCCATCATATGCCATGGTGGCCTCCCTGCTGGAAAATCGCTGAACTTTTGCCTGCATCCAGTTCATCCCCAAGGCAGCCTCATTGTTTCTTAAATCACCCTGCTCATCCGCCCATATTCTCAGCTTTTCATGAGCTGTAACTCCCATTCATGGTGAAATTGTAATACCCTGCACCTAGTTCAGTATTGTATTGAATTCTGAGCATTGCCAAGCATATGGTGTCCTTGAATTTCTCCATCTTTTTTTTTTTAATTTCAGATTTTATGCTGCAGAAATTGCCATTGGTCTGTTCTTCTTGCAGAGCAAGGGCATCATTTACCGGTGAGTGAACACTGCTGTACTTTCCATCTCCTGCTCTCCCTCAGCTCCTCCCTTCCCTGCATCTTTCTTCAACTGCTTTTAAAATTAGAATTCATGGTGGGGGAGGAACCCTCCAGCACTAACTTGGACATGTGTTCTGCCAGGCAGCATCGCCCACTGCCCTGGCAAAGTTTGGGGAGCTCTGTGCGGTGACAGGAGAATCTTGATGGGCTGTGATGGACGGTGTCACCAATGATGGCTCAGGACCTCACACCTGAGACCGCTTGTTCTAGAGGAGGAGTCTGTCCAACAGGGCCTCCGTACTTCGTTCTCTTGCCCGTGGACCCCACCTTTAGAGAGTAAGCAAAGAACCTTGGCTGGAGGAATGTGGTAGATCATATTATTATGAAACAAAAGATTTTTTTTTTTGCATGTAACTGCAATTTGGAAGTGGATCTCCAAGCAGCTTGCCCTGAAAGATGAGATTAAACTCCAAACTTGTTACTTGCCAGCTCTTGAAGGAGCGAGTGTGTGATCATAGCTGTGTGAGTCATATTTTATGCGAGGCAACCATCTGAGCCGAAGGCTGCCGTTGTCGGCGAGTCCAAGGCATACAATTCTCCACAGATTACATGCATGCAAATGGCACAGGCAGCCGGCCTCGGCACCTTGTTGTACAGGAGGGGCTGGCATGGCATGGGCTTCCAAGTGGTACTTGGTGTGGATGAGGGTCTATTTAAAAGATCTTGAAGAGCCATGAAAGTCTCTTTCATTAATTCATTTGATGGATATTTATCAAAGGCCTACTATGTGCTAGGCACTATTGTGGTGAGGAAATACAGCAGGAAAGCAAAGAGATGTAACTCTCATCTCTGTGGAACTTATATTCTACTGGTGGGAGACTAATGTTAGTTCATCATAAAAATACGACTTAGCAAGTAGCTCTGTAGTGCAGAGTCAAGCAAAGTAAGGAGCTGGTGTGTGCTGGGTGGTGGATGGTTGTCTCTCCTTCTGTGGAGACCATGGCTCTTGGGGTCTGGAGAGTTGGAGGTGACCTAGCCTCCCTGTAGCCAGGGTTTGACCCAGCTCAGTCTCCCAGTAGTCAACCAGTGACCCAAGAGCTGGAGCCACAGTAGTCAGCTACATCTGGCTTCCAGAGCACAAGGAAAGGCGTTTCTTGTCTGCAACACACAGAGTCCAGCATTAGTGCTTCCTGGAATGAAGGGTGAGGTTCTCCAGCTTCCTGGAGGTTTTCTGAGTGCCTCCCTGTCTTTTTTTAGGCTCCTTTTCAGATCAAAGTCATGAGAGTTGGTGTTTGCTGTTCACCATCGAGTAACTCAGTTGAGACAGAATTCTTCAAATTGATAATCAAATGAAAGCAATAAAAAGTTATGTGACAAAAGATATATAGCTTTAGAATTGCATAAGGATTGTCTTTGTGATGGTAAAGTCTTAAAATGTTACAAATCACTCTCATCTTCCTTTAGCTCTTTACTTAATTGGACAGTTCTTAAGGGAAGAGGATGAGGAATTATGCTAGACATTCTCTTCCTGAGGAACATTGCTGGATATTGGGAGGGGGGCTTCTTGTCAAACTTAGTGTTGGATTTATTGATCATTTTCTCTGGATTATGCCTTGATTCTGCCGTTAATGAATTTCTCAAAAATGAAAACAGTTGCTCCAGCCTCCTTTTGAATCAGGAATGAGGGAATAGGGAACAAAAGAATACAGTGCAACATCAGAGGCCCGTTGTGTGCCAATATGGCTGAGGTATCCCCCTCACCCTGCTCCCTGCAGGACCTGCTGGCTTTTGGCACCCAAAACTCCTCATGAAGGCATTAGCACTTCTCTAGTTGACCCCACTGCCTGTTTCTGCGCACATGGGCCAGCTGAGAGGATGTCATGTGTTATTATGAGTGGGAAAATATAAAGAACTAGTATGTTCAGTTGAAGGAAGTTGCCATAAGTCCAGCATTTCTAAGTTCCAGCGTGGCATTCAGAATCTGGTGTGGTTTGCAGAGAAGCATAAAGGTGCACATGGGTGGCACCATCGACAGCGGCAGCACCTTGGACAGACAATGGAAGGAAATGTTGCTGTTGCCGAACAGTGGGTGCAAGTGGACTTCCCCTTGGATGCAGAGACTTTGCAGATACAGATAAGAGAAGCAGGGATATATTATTTTCACGTTGTGTAACCTTTTAGTTGGATGTGACGATGGCACCTCAACGCAACTAACGTAAGCTCAAAGAGACATTTATCAGCTGCCATAACTGAACAGTCCAGGCAAGATCTGAACTTCAACCTGGATAGATTCAGGGGTTTAAATGATGTTGAGTCGCTTTGTCCCCTCCCCTCCAGGCTCTGCTTATCTTTGCTGCCCTATTCTCTCCATCAAGTGACCTCTGGAGCTTCCAGGCCTATATTCCATCCAATCCCAGTGTAAAAAAAAAAACTTACTTTTTTCCTGATGGTACCTGCAAAGTTGCCAGAGTTTTTATAGCTGCAGATCTGGCCCTATGTCCATTCCTGAACCCTTCTATGGCTCACAACATGTGGTATGTCCACTGTCCAGACAGGCCCATGCCCACTCCTGGGGCCAGAGTTTAGGGCCAGAACCTCCACGTCACATGGTGTGAGGATCAGGAAAGGGTAGACTCACCCCAAGATTACCAGAACCTCCACGTCACATGGTGTGAGGATCAGGAAAGGGTAGACTCACCCCAAGCTTAGATAAGCAGAAGCCACAGGCACCCACAGGCCAGCCAAGGGGCTCCGGGGGAGAGCTCTGCACTGGGGAGCAGGTACCCTCCCTCCTCAGGAAGTCGGGCTTCTTCGTCTCCTATTAGGACTGAGTCAGTGCGACCCACAGGTTACACCTGCTCACTGGTGCTGAAACAGAGTTAACATTGGAATGTGTGTCTGTAAGGGAACCACTGAGCAAGCTCAAGGACCTGAGTCTAATCCCCGGCACCAATAAAAAAAAGGAAAAGGAAATTATTGATATTAGGGTGATCTTACATGCAGGAGGCAGGCAAGCGTTCCCCAAAATATCAAGCTCTCCTCATCAACACAAATGGAAATAACAGAAGGAGATTGTAGTACACATCCTTTAGTTAAAGCTCAACTGTTGCCTGAAAGAATCGATGGGAACCTTGGATCATGTCCCAGGAAGTGGCCTTGAAACACCTGAAGCACTTGGAGTTAAACAAGTTTCTCTCCATCATTTGTTTGTTTGGTTTTTTTTTTTTTACCATGATTTTCAGAGATACTTTAAAACTACTTCTGTGAAAATTATATCTTTGTACAACATATAAGGGGTTTATAAATCGCAGTTTGACTCTTGGAATCTCCTGGGTATAAGATGCCTCTTCTGGTGCTGTTTAACTTCCTCTCTTTTCTTGGAGCTCCCATCTCGCTGTGTCCTCACGAGACCCTGCCACTGTGGACTCGGTAGAAAAAGAAAAGCACAGAGGTTTAGAGGCCTCTCATTTCTCTGCCAGACTGTAAACTGCCAGAGGACAGGACTAGTTTACAGCTGCCTTTCTGACCCTGTAACACCTAGCAGAGTGTTTTGTATAGTGAGTGACTAATGTTTGGGTTGAAATAAATAATATTTCAATAAATCCTGTTGTTCTTATGTCTGCTGCCGCAGGGACCTGAAACTTGACAACGTGATGCTGGACTCTGAGGGCCACATCAAGATTGCTGACTTTGGCATGTGTAAGGAGAGCATCTGGGATGGGGTGACAACCAAGACGTTCTGTGGCACTCCAGACTACATTGCCCCTGAGGTGAGAGCCGCTGGATGCCTCGCACACAGACGCTGTGACACTGTCTCCACTGCCCCTTGATGGCTGTGTGAGGGCCAGGAGGGGTGAGGACAGTACCTCAGGGTGGTCCTTCTCTTGTACTCTGAATCATTCCCTTGAGAGCACACGTGCAGATTAACTTAGCATACACCTAGTAAGTCAGGTCTAAAATACCTCAAGGTTTGGGAGAAAATTTAAATAAAACTCAAAAGAACCATGCAACACACATCAGTAAAACGCTTCATCAGGCTGCTGTAGCTTGTGGCCATATGAGACCTCCTAATTATGACACAGGAATGTTTGTTGAGAGAAAGAGAGAGAGAAACAGAAAGAACAGATTCTCAGGCTGACATATGACACGGGTCTGTGTACTATGTGTGTGGCCACTGTGATAAACCCTGGGAGACTCCAGATTTTTCTTCCTGTGCTAAAGATACAAATGGAACCCTAAGATATGTTCGTAGTGCCTTCCTACTCTTCCCGGAGGATGCAGTCGATGAACGGATTTTTTTCTCCAATGTGACACAGGACAGTAATTTGTGCCAGGCAATTCTGTTCCTTGTTTATCTGAATTGATGCTTGGAAAACTGGCATAGAACTGAGGACCTGTCACACAATCTTGGAAAAAGACATTTTAAAACTCCTGTCAGTCACTTGATATGTAACAATGGGGATGTGAATCTGCTTAAATAACTTGGCATACAGTTTAAAATCTGTGTGGTCTTCTCCCAAACACTTCCGTTTCTGGGAGCCTAGCTAGTTCACAGAAACATACTCATACACTTGTAAGCACACAGACACACATATACACGAGTGGAAGGGTATGTGTTCAAAGCCCTTCCTTCATCCCAGCATTATTTTTAATAATGAAAAATGGGAGTCAATCTCAAAGACTATCAATAAAGGAAAAATTGGCTAAAATATGCTGCATTCACATTAGAAAAATCCCATCCAGACTTTAGAATGAACCTGTGTATATTAATGTAAAATAGCACCCCTCAGTAGGGTGAGGTCAGTTGACTATGACTGATTTATAGTACAAAATCTACTCTGGTGAGGGTGGTCACTCACACCTGTAATCCCCAGTTACTCAGGAGGCTGAGGGAGTAAGATTTTGAGCCTGGGCAACTTAGCAAGCCCTGGTCTCAAAATTTTATTTTGGGCAGCAGCTCAGCAGTAGGGATTCCTGCCTAGTGTGTGTGAGGCCCTGGGTTCATTCCCCAGTACTACACAAAAATACCCCAAATAAATCTAGGCATCAGTTCAAAAGAGTGAGCTAGAAATCTACGTGCATAACAAATACCTCCAGAACGTACTGTAAAGAGAAACAAATCTGGGTAGAGAATGATAAATAGGACACGAATACCATTTGTGGGCAGTAACAGTAAGAGGCAGCCACAGCCGTGTCTCTGATGTGTATCATTAGTGCATGCAGAGGCGCAGGACCTCTAGACAGCTGCAGAAAGATCATACAACATTGGTGACCTCCCAGGATAAGTGCAGGTAAAGGGAAATCTCACCCCACCTGTATACCATATATATTTCCCACAAGGTAAATTTATGTATTTCTTGAATGACAACAAGGTAATCTATTTTTTTACAAATCGATTATTTTTTAGGACCCAGCAGAATTTCCCTTATGTAGCAGCCTTATTTGGTACACAGTTCCCGGATGTGTCATGAGTCTGCTCGTCTCTGGGGCCTGACTCTGGCTGCACAATATAAAGTCACGGGGAAAGCTTTGCAAATGCAGCCCAGCCGGGTATCACTGAGAGCTGGTGCCAGATCTGTGGGGTTCCGTCATCCCCAGGGAGTGCTGCCTGGTGCCCAAGCTGCCTCCTCCTCCTGCCCAAGAACAGGAAGAGCATTTGCAGGGCAGGGCGGGCTTTGCTATTAACTGATCACCTCCAGCAACTTCTTTCTCCTCCCAGCCGCAATTCTCCTCTGTGAGAGGATTAACTTGTTGGAATGTCATGAGGCGCGAAGTACCTTAAAAGTGTGAAAACACTTTCAATGGGAAGTGTTCTCACAGAAGGCTTTCGAGTCTTGCACTTACTTCTCCACTTTTTATTTGTTTATTTACTTGTTTACTTTTATTTGGCAAAGAAAAATTATATAAATACTTGTCATATACAAAAGATTTTGAAAGAGATACATTTGTGGTGAAGATGACTAAAACTTACACCCAGCAATTTCAAGAAAACAGTTCCTAGCTGGGCACGGCGGTGCACACCTATGATCCCAGCAGCACCCAGGGAGGCTGAGGCAGGAGGATCACAAGTTCAAGTCTTATATGAACAACTTAGCAAGACCCTGTCTCAAAATAAAAACTAAAAAGGGCTGCAGATGTAGCTCAGTGTAGAAGCCCTGGGTTTCTATCCTCAGTGTTGCAAAATTTTTAAAAAGAAAAGAGAAAAAGAATACCATTCATTGTTATAAACTATAGTCACCGTATTGTTCTTTAGACTTTTTTGGATTTATTCTTTTTATCTAACTGAAATTTTGTATCCTTCCAACAGCATCTGTGGATTTCTTATTTTAGTGTAGAGGCAGGGGTGGGAGATGGAGTCTGAGAAATAGTCATTCACTTTATAGCCAGGTTATCTCCAGCACCTTTATTGAGAAAAACAAGCAATCACGGAGGTAGAGAACATTCTAGCAAATGCGAACATTGCGGGGCATAACATGAGAGTGGTCCCTGGTCTATCATTCATCTTGCACAAAGCCCCACGACACAGATATTGTGGTAAATTTCATTTTGTAGAAGAGGAAGCCAAGGCTAGAAGTAGTTACATAGCTTCCCTCAGGATCATGCACTTGGTAAATAAAAATCAGGTGTCAGAGTTAGACTGTTTGACCCACAACCTCAGCCCTGGACCTTTGCTGTATCATCTCTGCACCCTTTGGGCACAGATGTTTCAACACAGACATACTGAAAGGTGGACAGCCATGTACCCACTAGACTTCTCCAACAAATCCCTCTCTGTGTTCTATTTAGTCTGCTAATCCTCCTCCCAGGAATTTATCTTATGGAAATAATTGGACAGAGGTTCATATATAATTACAAGAATATGAATGTAGCATCAGAACAAACTAATGAAGTGGAAATTGAGAAGATAGATTTTGATACATCCTTCCAGTGGAATGCTGTGCGGAGGTAAAAACCAATTTTGTCAGTGTACAAACGTTAGCAAGGGAAACTTAAGTGAATCACACACTTTATTAAAGTCCACTTACTAGAGTGTTTATGCTTATGTAAATCACATGTTTGTGCAGTTTAATATATATTCATAGAAAAGAGTCTAGAAGGAGGTAAATCAAATATTAGCCATGATTTTTCTTGATGAAGAATTATGGGTGATTTTCATTTTATTCTCTTAGCTTACCTGTATTTTCTAAATAAATAGTAAAATAATAACATGTTATTACTCTTTAAATGTTTTTATTTTTAATTGTGGTTTTAAAAAAACCACATGGCCTGAAATTTACCATCTTAATCATTTCTCAATATGCAGCTTATTAGTGTTCAGCAGAGTGTTTTGTATAGTGAGTGACTAATGTTTGGGTTGAAATAAATAATATTTCAATAAATCCTGTTGTTCTTATGTCTGCTGCCGCAGGGACCTGAAACTTGACAACGTGATGCTGGACTCTGAGGGCCACATCAAGATTGCTGACTTTGGCATGTGTAAGGAGAGCATCTGGGATGGGGTGACAACCAAGACGTTCTGTGGCACTCCAGACTACATTGCCCCTGAGGTGAGAGCCGCTGGATGCCTCGCACACAGACGCTGTGACACTGTCTCCACTGCCCCTTGATGGCTGTGTGAGGGCCAGGAGGGGTGAGGACAGTACCTCAGGGTGGTCCTTCTCTTGTACTCTGAATCATTCCCTTGAGAGCACATGTGCAGATTAACTTAGCATACACCTAGTAAGTCAGGTCTAAAATACCTCAAGGTTTGGGAGAAAATTTAAATAAAACTCAAAAGAACCATGCAACACACATCAGTAAAACGCTTCATCAGGCTGCTGTAGCTTGTGGCCATATGAGACCTCCTAATTATGACACAGGAATGTTTGTTGAGAGAAAGAGAGAGAGAAACAGAAAGAACAGATTCTCAGGCTGACATATGACACGGGTCTGTGTACTATGTGTGTGGCCACTGTGATAAACCCTGGGAGACTCCAGATTTTTCTTCCTGTGCTAAAGATACAAATGGAACCCTAAGATATGTTCGTAGTGCCTTCCTACTCTTCCCGGAGGATGCAGTCGATGAACGGATTTTTTTCTCCAATGTGACACAGGACAGTAATTTGTGCCAGGCAATTCTGTTCCTTGTTTATCTGAATTGATGCTTGGAAAACTGGCATAGAACTGAGGACCTGTCACACAATCTTGGAAAAAGACATTTTAAAACTCCTGTCAGTCACTTGATATGTAACAATGGGGATGTGAATCTGCTTAAATAACTTGGCATACAGTTTAAAATCTGTGTGGTCTTCTCCCAAACACTTCCGTTTCTGGGAGCCTAGCTAGTTCACAGAAACATACTCATACACTTGTAAGCACACAGACACACATATACACGAGTGGAAGGGTATGTGTTCAAAGCCCTTCCTTCATCCCAGCATTATTTTTAATAATGAAAAATGGGAGTCAATCTCAAAGACTATCAATAAAGGAAAAATTGGCTAAAATATGCTGCATTCACATTAGAAAAATCCCATCCAGACTTTAGAATGAACCTGTGTATATTAATGTAAAATAGCACCCCTCAGTAGGGTGAGGTCAGTTGACTATGACTGATTTATAGTACAAAATCTACTCTGGTGAGGGTGGTCACTCACACCTGTAATCCCCAGTTACTCAGGAGGCTGAGGGAGTAAGATTTTGAGCCTGGGCAACTTAGCAAGCCCTGGTCTCAAAATTTTATTTTGGGCAGCAGCTCAGCAGTAGGGATTCCTGCCTAGTGTGTGTGAGGCCCTGGGTTCATTCCCCAGTACTACACAAAAATACCCCAAATAAATCTAGGCATCAGTTCAAAAGAGTGAGCTAGAAATCTACGTGCATAACAAATACCTCCAGAACGTACTGTAAAGAGAAACAAATCTGGGTAGAGAATGATAAATAGGACACGAATACCATTTGTGGGCAGTAACAGTAAGAGGCAGCCACAGCCGTGTCTCTGATGTGTATCATTAGTGCATGCAGAGGCGCAGGACCTCTAGACAGCTGCAGAAAGATCATACAACATTGGTGACCTCCCAGGATAAGTGCAGGTAAAGGGAAATCTCACCCCACCTGTATACCATATATATTTCCCACAAGGTAAATTTATGTATTTCTTGAATGACAACAAGGTAATCTATTTTTTTACAAATCGATTATTTTTTAGGACCCAGCAGAATTTCCCTTATGTAGCAGCCTTATTTGGTACACAGTTCCCGGATGTGTCATGAGTCTGCTCGTCTCTGGGGCCTGACTCTGGCTGCACAATATAAAGTCACGGGGAAAGCTTTGCAAATGCAGCCCAGCCGGGTATCACTGAGAGCTGGTGCCAGATCTGTGGGGTTCCGTCATCCCCAGGGAGTGCTGCCTGGTGCCCAAGCTGCCTCCTCCTCCTGCCCAAGAACAGGAAGAGCATTTGCAGGGCAGGGCGGGCTTTGCTATTAACTGATCACCTCCAGCAACTTCTTTCTCCTCCCAGCCGCAATTCTCCTCTGTGAGAGGATTAACTTGTTGGAATGTCATGAGGCGCGAAGTACCTTAAAAGTGTGAAAACACTTTCAATGGGAAGTGTTCTCACAGAAGGCTTTCGAGTCTTGCACTTACTTCTCCACTTTTTATTTGTTTATTTACTTGTTTACTTTTATTTGGCAAAGAAAAATTATATAAATACTTGTCATATACAAAAGATTTTGAAAGAGATACATTTGTGGTGAAGATGACTAAAACTTACACCCAGCAATTTCAAGAAAACAGTTCCTAGCTGGGCACGGCGGTGCACACCTATGATCCCAGCAGCACCCAGGGAGGCTGAGGCAGGAGGATCACAAGTTCAAGTCTTATATGAACAACTTAGCAAGACCCTGTCTCAAAATAAAAACTAAAAAGGGCTGCAGATGTAGCTCAGTGTAGAAGCCCTGGGTTTCTATCCTCAGTGTTGCAAAATTTTTAAAAAGAAAAGAGAAAAAGAATACCATTCATTGTTATAAACTATAGTCACCGTATTGTTCTTTAGACTTTTTTGGATTTATTCTTTTTATCTAACTGAAATTTTGTATCCTTCCAACAGCATCTGTGGATTTCTTATTTTAGTGTAGAGGCAGGGGTGGGAGATGGAGTCTGAGAAATAGTCATTCACTTTATAGCCAGGTTATCTCCAGCACCTTTATTGAGAAAAACAAGCAATCACGGAGGTAGAGAACATTCTAGCAAATGCGAACATTGCGGGGCATAACATGAGAGTGGTCCCTGGTCTATCATTCATCTTGCACAAAGCCCCACGACACAGATATTGTGGTAAACTTCATTTTGTAGAAGAGGAAGCCAAGGCTAGAAGTAGTTACATAGCTTCCCTCAGGATCATGCACTTGGTAAATAAAAATCAGGTGTCAGAGTTAGACTGTTTGACCCACAACCTCAGCCCTGGACCTTTGCTGTATCATCTCTGCACCCTTTGGGCACAGATGTTTCAACACAGACATACTGAAAGGTGGACAGCCATGTACCCACTAGACTTCTCCAACAAATCCCTCTCTGTGTTCTATTTAGTCTGCTAATCCTCCTCCCAGGAATTTATCTTATGGAAATAATTGGACAGAGGTTCATATATAATTACAAGAATATGAATGTAGCATCAGAACAAACTAATGAAGTGGAAATTGAGAAGATAGATTTTGATACATCCTTCCAGTGGAATGCTGTGCGGAGGTAAAAACCAATTTTGTCAGTGTACAAACGTTAGCAAGGAAAACTTAAGTGAATCACACACTTTATTAAAGTCCACTTACTAGAGTGTTTATGCTTATGTAAATCACATGTTTGTGCAGTTTAATATATATTCATAGAAAAGAGTCTAGAAGGAGGTAAATCAAATATTAGCCATGATTTTTTCTTGATGAAGAATTATGGGTGATTTTCATTTTATTCTCTTAGCTTACCTGTATTTTCTAAATAAATAGTAAAATAATAACATGTTATTACTCTTTAAATGTTTTTATTTTTAATTGTGGTTTTAAAGAAACCACATGGCCTGAAATTTACCATCTTAATCATTTCTCAATATGCAGCTTATTAGTGTTCGTAGATTCACAATATTGTATAAATGTACAATGAAACAGAAATAGCTTTTCTGCTTTAAATACCACACATAGGTTTTGAAACAACACACACACACACACACACACACACACACACACGCACACACGCAGCATACCATACCATACTCAGTGCAAAGGCAACATGACACACAGATGTTGCCCAGTGAAGGTTTTTCTGTAGAGCCTGCCCATCATTGCCTAAGTAGCTAAAGCAAAGAGATAATTCTGTGGGCCATGGCCTTCCTGTCCCTTCCTTGAGATCCTGGCCTGCTCTGGGCTGTGACATACACTGTGTTTCACAGTAATAGGTGACATGCCGAGGAAGAGCTCTCCCGCCCCACCTGCTGCAGTGAAGGTCCACTCTTCTGGTAAGAGAAATGGGAATTCAGTCTCCAACTGCACGAGCTCAGCCTTCCTGAAAGATGCCTTCTGTTTTCCAGATAATTGCGTACCAGCCCTATGGGAAGTCTGTAGACTGGTGGGCATTCGGAGTCCTGCTGTATGAAATGCTGGCTGGGCAGGTAATTCAGTCTGAAGTGATCTGTATGAGAAGTCCTCCTGCACTCCAGTCCACGTGGCTTCTTTAGAAGAATCTGATAACTTGGTGGCAGGTCATAAATTTGAACTTCTAAGACTTTCCTGGACTTGAGGTTATCCAAGTTTGTTGGAAAAATTTTTTCTATTCTTGAAAATACTGGTGTGTGGCCTTACTTTGAGCCAGGGAGGAAGGCCTGTAGGCTAGAGGAAGCTTGGGGGAGGGCAAAGGCAAGAATCCTCCTCCCACCCTGCCCTCTGTCCCACAGGCCCCATTCGAGGGAGAAGATGAAGATGAACTTTTCCAGTCCATCATGGAGCACAACGTGGCTTATCCAAAGTCTATGTCCAAGGAAGCTGTGGCCATCTGCAAAGGGGTGAGTGACCCCTTCAAGCTTGTGGCCAGGACTGCCACATCCAGAGTGTAGGCTATGCCCTGCTGAGGAGAACAGTGACAGAACTCCACCTTTCACTCCACTTGTCAACACCAGAGCCCTGACAGGGAGCTGCCGCTTCCCACAGGAAAGGGAGCTGTTTTCTACTCTGCACAAAAACACTGTAGAGGTTCACCTGCGGCTGCATCTTGCTGCTGGCTGGGCTCCAGTACAAGGGAATGCTTAATGAATGAAAGAGGTAGGAAGCACAGACTTCGTGTGAGAGCTGGAGCTGGTAGGAGGGGGCAGGACTCTGTCTACCTTGCTCTGCACCATATGTGTTTTGTTAATACTAAGCATGTGTAATTTCTGTTCTAAGAAAATATCAGGCAGTATTGACTTTAAGATACTCTCTCATAAACTGACCCAAATTCAGTGTCCTCAAACCCCCATTCTCCCACTCCTGCAATCCCAATATGCACAAAAAGCATGGCAGACATACGCCTGTGGCATATGCAAGCTGCATTTGTGAAGGAAGAAGGGCACATTTCCGGGTAAGGATTATTTTTCATGCCTCTCCTGTTGGACTCGGCTATGCTCACATGACCTGTGTGAGACCCTAGAGATCTATGATCCTCACTTTGGAGCCATCAGATGACCTGGAAAGCTTTTTAGAATGTGTAGACCTCAGCCTCACTTCTAGAGGTTAAGTCTGAGCATGGCAGTATTTTGAGAAAGTCCACATGTGGCTTCAAAACCATTTACCTTTAAATAGGTTGTCAAATGAAGCAATCTTTCAACTCTGATGGAAGTGTGAAAGCAACACTGTGAGATTCTCAGAAAATATGGCCCAAGGAAGATGCTTTTCAGAAGGATTTGCTCTGCTGCCAAGCAGCGGTGCCGGCAAGTTCTCATGTTAGCACTGGCTGTTCCTTGACAGGGGCTATCATCTCCATGTTGGAACATTCGCACATTTCTCACACCCTGCACAGCTTGCTCGCTCTCTCACCCCAGTCAAGAGCGATAGGAGCTGGCTTGAGTGAGGGGCAGCTGGAACAATCAGGCAGTCCAGACCAAGGCTTGGCCCCAATTAGAGTAGCTGGGCCAATCTCTCAGCCCAAAAGCCAGCACCTTGTCATGCCACCTAATTCCCACTCTCCACGAATCACACAAGCTTTGTGTTCTGCAATAGAGGTCCAGATGCAAATATCCCTGGGGAAACCACATGAGAATTAGTCTCAGGCTCTAACATCTTACATTGAATTGGTTGAAAATACTCTCTTTGAGGGTGACAGGCAGGGAGAGGAAAATGAGGAACAGAGGAGAGGCCCAGGGGTTCATTAAGAGAATAAACAAAGCCTGTAGATAAAGCAGGGCACGTCCTTATAGATGTTTTTTTGGCAGAGTGGTAGAGAGAGGTCAGACACTGAGTTTTGGATTGCTGAAGAGTCCCAACATTTAAAGATCGGGAGGTTTCCCATAAACATTCAGCTTTCCAGCTTCTCTTGAAAAATAAGATCTTGACACATCGGCCTGTTGTTTCTGCAAAGCATCAATCAGCTGAATTGGAAATCCCTGCCTCCTTTGTATGGGACATGCCCTCTCCAATTTGCAAAAAGCCCATCTGGCCCAGTGTCATCTGGGTTCAAATCCAGGTCCAGGCATTATTAGCCATGTGATCATAGGGAGGTTGTTTGACCTGATTTGCAGATTGAGAACAATAATAGCATCACACATAAGGTTCTGTGATGAGTTAATACCTATAAATCACTTAGACCAGAGCCTGGCCTTGTGCTCTGGAACTCTTGGGCCTTATTGCTATTCCAAATGCTGTCACTTTTGTGTTACATGCCAGGCTCCTCTTGGCATTTGAGTTTGCATCCTCTGCAATGGGAATTTTTAAAGAGGGGGGACTTTGAAGATCAAGAGACCCTTTTCAAATCTCAGCCATTCCACTTCTCAGTTGCGTGGTCTTGGGAAAATTCGTTTGCATCTCTGGCTTCTCTTTCATTATCTCTTAGAAAACGAAGGGAGTAAAACTACTTATTAAACAGAGTGCCAAAGACCATTCAATGAGGTAACATAAAAGGAGCTTCTTGCATGGTGTTGGCACATGGTAGGTGCTCAGTTCATGGTCAGGGTCTTCCCTTACAAGCCTGCCCTATTGGGACAGCTGGGGTTCTGAGTGGGTCATGAGGAGAGAGAATTTTCCAGATCAGCTGCATTCAGCTTCAGCTCCAATTAGCAGTTTCCCTGGTAGAACAGTTTTCTATTAATTCAGGACCCATAACCTTCAGGATGAACTGGGGTGACTTTCTTGCTGTTGGGTTTGGGGACCTTTCTAAATTGAGTGGGTTAAGTCCAGTGTGGGCTTTTTCTTTGAGGCTGATGTTCTAAAGAAGATGAGATGCCTAAGCAAACAGATAACCACTTTCTGCTAAACAGCAGCCCCAGGGAATACATCTGGGAGGTGATCAGAGATGGGAGCAGTGATTAAATCTAGCTGTTTGCCTGGCTTCAGACACAGCAGAGCAGAGGGCGGGAACTGGGCAGAGACTCAAAATGTGTGCTGGGTGTTTCTCCGGTGGCATTTCTTATCTTGGCATCCTCCCGCTTGCATGGAAATTGAGCTAGGCTTTTGAAAATAATCACCTTCCCAATGGAAGCAGGTCCTTTATATGTCCATCTCATTAAAGGCCCTGTTTCCTACCATAAAAATGGCAAAACTCTGTTCCGGTTGCCATGTCCGCTTGGAACAAGCTTAAAGTGGACAAAAGCCCATGTTGTCTATAGGTTAGAATGAGAACGAGTGGAGATTGGTCTGCAGGGAGCTGCTGGAATTCTAGTGAGGCAGATCTGTTCAAAACCCAGCGTTAATGCCAGGCATGGTGGCGCATGCCTGTAATCCCAGCATTCAGGAGGCTGAGGCAGGAGGATCGCTGTGAGTTCGAGACTAGCCTGGGCTACATAGTGAGTTCCAGGTCAGTCTCAACTACATAGTGAGACCCTGTCTCAAACAAAACAAAACAAAACCCAGCGTTAGTTCCTGACTGTGGGACCTTAGGCAAATACCATTTCTTCTCTGGACCCAGTTTCTATAGTATTGGGAACATAATTGCTGAAGTCTTACTGTGTTGTTATAAAGACAAATAAATAAATAATGGACTAGTGAATAAATAATAATAAATAAATAATGGCTGGCAAGACTTCTGCATAGAAGTTGGGCAAACATAGTGTACTCAATACCTTGAAACCATTATTTATATTATTATTATTATCAGTCCTGCCTTCCATCAACCTTTTCTGACCAAGCCAGACCATAAATATCTCTGGGGAACCACAAGAAATAGAAGCACTCTTCTATTTCTCTTAAAAGCCTATGTTTTAGAGCTAGGCACAGGGGGATCCAACCCTGTAGGAGCTCTGTGAGTCCTTGAAGTTGCTTAACCTCTCTGGTGTCAATTGCCTTGTCATTTCACAGGGGAAAAATAACAGACCCATTACCCGGGGTTATCATAACAATCAAGCAAGATCAGGCTTGTAATAGAGAAGTAGTTTAGAACATGAAGAGCCTAAATATTTTTCCCTGTGGAAGATAAAATGTATTTGTAATTTATATGTGTACTCAAATGAACATAAATTATGTGGGAAGTAGGAAACAGCCAAAGCTGAGTGTCCCACTGTCTAGGTGTCCACTTCTAAGATCTTTTCTGTCCTGTAATCTGATAGTCCTGGGAAAAATCCTAGCTATTCCAGGGAGCCTCTTGGGCCTATTGTGGTTCGATCACTTTTGTTTTCTCTTTTGATGCTTTCTTGTTAGTCTTTTTTTAAACCACCAACTCCTCTGTCTTTTTTTTTTTTTTTTTCCTCAACTCCTCTGTCTTGACTCTGCACTTGCTGAAGTCTTGAGATCAGAGATATTTTCCTGCTGCTTTGGATTCATTTATAAGAGGAAGCCTGTCTGGTTTCATCTCAGAGCCTCTATTCATCTTGTTATTTAGCACTGGCTCAGAGACCCAAAGATAGAGAGTTTTGATAATTAAGTAATTTAAACAGAACACCAAAGAAACCTCAACGGAGTTTAGTGTAATGTGTGATACAGGGAAATGAGCTAGGCTAGGTTTTGACTGTTTAATGAGCTTTCTGAAAGTAATTACTTGAAACGGGTCCATTTGATTAATATTTTTTCTTCTGTTTTGCCATTTCACAAGTGCTTTACTAGAAATGCAAACAATAACTGAATGAATGCATCCTTTCCTTTGGTCAAATGTCACTTTTCTTGTGGCGAATTTAAAGATGTTGAAACTGTTCTCATAAGGTACGCCAATAAATGCACAAAACTCCTTTTTGTACCACAATGGATTTTGTGACATTTCTAGCTTGAAGTTCAGAGCCACATTTAGGCTTTGATTTGATTACCGTAAGATATCACACTGTCATGTTAGTAGCAATAGGCACAGTGTAGGATCCCCTCCAACAAAGACCTGGCTAGGGAGAGTATTCCTGAAATGAAAAGCAAAAAAGTAGAATTAGTTGCAATTCTTCGATGCTCTTTCTTTCCTAAAGTCACAGGAATAATAATTTCTGAGTGTCTCACATGTCTGCCTCTGAAATTTACAAAACTTAATGTCTTTCTTTCTCCTAAAGCTGATGACCAAACACCCAGGAAAACGTCTGGGCTGTGGACCCGAAGGCGAACGTGACATCAAGGAGCATGCATTTTTCCGGTATATTGATTGGGAAAAACTTGAACGCAAAGAGATCCAGCCTCCATATAAACCAAAAGCTGTAAGTAAATGGCTCTCTCTGGATGCCAGGCCTCACACACAACACACTTTCTCCAGCCCACTGTGGGCTTAGAATGCTCTCTGGGGAGTAGATACCAATGTATCTACTTGGATATATGTAGCCATTCACATTTATACTAGAAGTTACTGGGCACAGACATGAAGATTTCCATTCATACAGCCTGGCCTCTGTAATAAGGGGAAAGAAAATCACTATTGAGTTTTTGGTGTATCAATTCAATTATTGTTAACTGTCTCAGCAGACAACTTTTATAGAAGGTTTCTTTAGTGAGCAGAGTTCAGATTCATTTGGGGGCTGTGATAAAGAATCTAATTCTGCCTTCCTTTCCTTGGTTCAACTGTGTCATTTTCTCTTCATACTGACGTTGAAAAGGTCATGTTGTTTATCTCAACAGTATTTAAATTTAATTCTGAAACATAACACTACTATGTCTGAGTCAGTAAATAAGAGCAATTCACCCGGCAGCTTCTACCCATGGGGAAAGAGAATAAAACAGAAGCTGGCATGGTCCTGAACTACAGCCCTACTGGAAGCTTGGGGTGTAGACGTGGCTTTGTGATAATTTGTATAATTCAAGAATAAAAGCTTCCCTTTCCCTCATAGTCCTGCACCCACGGAAGGGTTTTCCATCTCCAAAGACCCAGCAGGGAGGACTTGTCAGTGTCAGGGAGGAGGAGTTTGCACCTGAATTAATCAGAGCTGTGATTCTGGCCGGGAGGATATTTCCTTGTTAAATTAAGTAGAGCACAGACTGGTGACTTTATTATGGGTTGTACAACCACCTACTGAGGCTGAAAAGTGAACATAAACATCGTCACTGAAACCTGAAGCTGTAAGGTCTTGGTGTTGAGCTGAGGAAGCCGATAATGCTAGTTACTTTGATGCTGTAATTGCTAATTTCATGAGCACTTATTATGTGCTAGGTCCCGTGATTAGCACTTCACATGCACCGTCTAATTAAATCCTCACATGAGTCTAACAAGGCAGGTGCCGCTACCCTATGTAATGGAACAGGAGATAGAGGCTAGAAGGGTTAGGTGCTGGGTCCTGGGTCAGTCAGCCAGGGCGTACTGAAGGGGGACTCTAGACAGTCTGCCCCACTCCTCTGGGGGCTCACCACAGGCTCAGGGCCCAAGGGCACATAGTTGAAGAAAGTCTCACGGTGTGGGGGGGTCTCACATCACCCCAGTGCTTCCCTTTCCCTCATTTCTGATGGCTAAATCACAGCTCTGCAGCACCCTGCCTGCATCTTGGACCTTCTGGGTGTTGGGAAGCCAGGTCTGTTAGAGCAGCCAGTCCCATTGTGTGGCCTTGCTGCTTGTCGCAAATGCATCCGGTAATACCTAGCAGCCTTCCGGAAGTGCCCCCGGCCCCATGCGTTAGATTTGTGCCCATGCTGGCTCGCCCTCTCTCATCCTGTGCTGCTCAAGCTGGGCTCTGCCCCCACCCCCAATAAGCACGTCCCTTCTGATATCATTTCCAGGGGCCTGCGGCTCTGCAGGTCTCCAACATTGATCTTCAAATGTAGACACGGGGATGAGCACTACATTCCTCACTTTATTTATTTCAGTAAAGTGAGTCCATCTGCCTGTTTTGCCAGAGCTGGTGAATTGGACCAATTGGTTCTCCCCTCTGAGCCATTGCTTCATCATTTTATGCTACAGCAATGATAATAGTTCCCACGTCAAAGGCTCCTTGTGATGCTCAAAGTCTTCGGGACGTGCCTGGGATGGTGGTGGTTTTTGGTGGTGCCTTGCAATAGTGAATGTCTCGGGTGCAGGGTCTTTCCAGGGTGGATCTGTGTGGCACGCTGGCCATGCTGGTTTATGATAATGACTGTGTGTGTATTTGAAGTTGGGGAGGACCCTACATATCCTGGGCGATATCATTACTTTTACTGAACCATTTTGAAAAAAAGATAAAAAATAACCTGGAAGAGAAGGTGAGTTTTTGTTCAGGACATGCACTAGCAACTCGGAGGTGGAACTCATTTGGTTTTTGCGTGGGTATTCATGAGTTGTCAAAACTTGGATCTTCTCCTTTCCTTACTTGGCCAGTGAAAAGATGCAAATGCTCCAATCCTACCAGCCCTGAACCTCTGGGGCTTATTCTGGAGCTGTAGGTCAGTGGTTTTCAATGTGTGTTCCCTGGGCCAGCAGCATTAACTTGATGTTGGATGTCACAGTGGGAATGCAAGTCTAGGACCCCATTGTAGACCTCCTGGGCCGGAAATTCTGGGATGGAGCCTAATGTTCTCTGTTGAGCTAGGCCTCCTTCCAGTCTGGGAATAGATGCCTGGAGGGCCAGGAGGGTGTTGGGAAGGAAGGACAAGAGCCTGTAAGTTAGAAGAGCGGGTGGGAAGCTGGGCGACAGGTAAGCTAGCTAAAGGCTCTGCTGCTGTTCAGTGCTAGCTGAGCCCGACTGCATTTCATAGCTTCATGAGAAAGTGGAAATCAGGTTCTTAGATAAATTCTCCCTATTTCTTACTGTGTCAAAACGAAATGTTTAAAAATTAAACTTAGTTGAGGGCCAATAAAATACATCCATGACCTACATGTGGCCGGTGGACTGTTTGTCATCTCTGGATCGCTGATGATTCCAGCCAGGATGGCATTTAGCCAGTTCCCGTTGGTGCTGGTAACTGACAGCCACAGTCCATTCTGACTGGGCAACTATGGCGAATGTGCCTGCCACGGATAATGACTCTAAAAGGTCTGGGTCCTGGAAGGTGCCCAGGAAAAGATAGTTCTAGTTATTGTTGGTAAAATAAAACTGGTTTCAGTAAGTATCGACGGTTTGATATTACTTCCAAATGACCCGTGTCCTCACTTCCCTTTTGTGGGTTTCACGGTGACTTTCCAAATCCTGCATCTGGACTGGGCTATGTACTGAAAGATGTCCTGCCACCATGTGTAGGAGGAAGCAGGCCCTGCCCTTGGTGTCCTCTGACTGAATTAGAAATATAGTTCTTCCTGGGCATCTGTGAGGCTTGGTCTCTTGCAGGTCCTGAAATCCACAGATGCTCAAGTCCCTTGACTGAAACACAGAGTATCTGCATATAACCTACACACAGCCTCCTAAGTACTCAAAACTGTCTCTCGAGCACTTATAATGCCTGATAAATGTAAATGCCATGTAAATAGTTGTTATACTATATGGCTTAGGGAATAGTGACAAGAAAAAATTCTGTACAAGTTCAGGGTAGAACAATTTTTTAAAAAAATCATTCTGATCCACAGCTGGGGAAATCTGGGAATGGGGAATCTGGAGATACAGAGGGATGATTGTGGTGATAAGGAGTCCACCATCCACCCGCCGGATCCAACCTGCTTATGTGTTTTACATTGTCAATCTGGGCCTTAGAGCCCCCACTCCCATCCCAGGGTCTTGTGCTTCCCCTTCTGTACCCCATCTTATCTGTACTTCTGGAAGGCCTGGCGGCGTGAGTGTATGCAGAGTTCTGTGTGCCTTGTGGGGCAGTAAGAGGCACACAGGTACCTGTCAGTGCACCTGATTCATGTGTGCTATTAAGTCAAGAGAAACACGGGGCAATAACAGGATTACATTGCAATCTCAGTGAAGGGTGCTATTATTGGCGGTTAATTAAAATCACTTTAAGTGTGTGTGTTTTTTTTAAGTTGTTCCAGCGCCATCTCTCACTGTGGCAAGGAGCTGTTTGCAGAGCAGTGTTTGCAGCTGTATGAAAGACATTAGTTATGGTGCATTGTTGTCAGGTACAAAGTACTGTTCCTTTCATGCGCAATCTTTTATTAAAAGTCCCCAGATGGCTTTCCACTATCCCAGGATAACATCCATTGCCCCTTAGTGTAAGTGGCTTTTGAATCTCCCCAGGCCAGGCCTCTGTCCTCCTGAGAGCCTACGTTCCTGGGCCTGCGCGGTTGTTTGCACGGCAGCCTGCTGTCCCCGTGGTGGCTCTGCCTGCGTGGAGCCCTTTCACATGGCCCTGTCTCATTCCAGGGCTGTGCTGCTCCCCTCATTAAATAGGTAGACGGTCACCCCTTGGGAGCATCCTCCTGACCCCCCAGCAGCTCACCCCATGCTGTTTCGATTGCCCCTTCCATGGAACTCCTGTCTTGTCGACTAGACTGTAGAGTTGGTGCCTTCTTCAGTGACAAATCTCAGCACTTTGTGTAAGGTGTAGCACATCAGAGGTACTCAGGAATTTTTATCAAATGAATAGCCATAAAGTAGTTGCTGTAATACATGGACATATATCAGTGTGTGGGGCGTTGCCTGTGTACGGCGGGATGTCTAAAACAAATTAGTTGTTGCGTGAGTTACTACCCTGTTTATACAGCGCTATGTAATTTGGTTGCTGACTTTGCAAACTGTCATGGCATCCTGTGCTTTTGCGGTGTGTTCCAGGACGGCACGCGGTGAGGGACTGGAGGAGGCAGTGCGTGGAGCTGCTGGACTCGGGCGGAGAAGGCTGCAGATCCCTGTCATCTCCTTGCGCAGGCCAGTCTGGCACCACAGCTGCCATGATGCAGCCTGGCAGGACTACATTAGGTTACAATGTAGATTTCGATTCATCTGGTCTGGGGTGAGCCTGAGACGTTGCCCTTCTCTCTCGAGCTCTCGCAGTGACAGGAGGCCACTGGAGCACTTGTGTACTTGGTGTGGCAGGGAGCAGGGCAGGCGCTGTGGGGTGCAGCCAGCTCCAAGTTGAACAGCAGACCCTGTTGCTGCAGGTGTTCATGCGCAGCGTGCAGATCTAGTGCAGCACAGGGCCAGCCAGGATGAATGGGAATAAAAAGGAAGGCACAAAGCCAGGCGTGGTGGCGCATGCCTGTAATCCCAGCACTCGGGAGGCTGAGGCAGGAGGATCGCTGTGAGTTCAAGACCAGCCTGGGCTACATAGTGAGTACCAGGTCAGTCTCAACTACATAGTGAGAGCCTGTCTCAAAAAACCAAAAAAGAAAAAAAAAAAGGAAGGCACAGAGTGTGCTGGTGAAGAG